AATATTATTGAATAGGTTAATGCTGTGGTAATGAAATGCTTCTTTATTTAAAAAAAAGTAATTCATATAGAAAGATATGAAATATAAAGTATTTTCTCCCCATTTTCCCTCCTCAGAGTAGTGAGGGGACAACCACTATTAATGATCACACATGTACATCCTTTCTCAAAATGTCAATCTTTAGAGAAACAATATGGTTTAGTGTGCATGAGTGTACATGTTACTCCTTTGTGCATGCATGTATGTTCGTGTGTGTGTGTATGTATGTATGCGGTTACAGTCACGTCTGCAGAAGCACATGCATGTATGTGTAGGCCAGAGATGTTCCTCCCACCTTGTTTTTGAGACAGGGTGTCACTGGTCTGGAACTTGCCAAGTATGCTAGGCTGGCTGGCTGGCTGGGGAGCCCCAGGGATCTGTTTCTGATTTCCCAACTCTGGGATTACAAGATTACAAGCATGCACCGCCAAGCCTGGGTTATTTACATGGGTCTGGAGATTGAACTAACTCAGGTATTTGTGCTTGTGAGGATATTTCCCCAACCTGCCTTCCCCACTTTAAAAAAAAAAGTAATATGATTACTCTGTAGTTTGACAATTGGCAATATAATTTTTTTTCCATCTGTCTCATAATATTCAGGTTTTGGTTTGGTTTTACTGTCAAGTTTTTTTTTTTTTTTTGTTTCCACGAAAGGGAGAGGAATAGGAGTTCAAGCTCTCTAATTATGACCTGAATCCCCAACTTGCCCCTTCTCAGGTGACACCTTCCCTCCTCTTTACCTTTCCAGCCTCTGCATGGTCATAGCGAGTGTTTTGTTCAGCTCGTCGATCATCCTGCAACTAGAAGGGTGCATGGGCAGGGTGCCGGTGGAAGATGGGAGGTGCTGGCTGTGGCTGCCATACTGCAGCTGGTGCTGGATCTGGGATGGCAGGACTGTGTGATGGTGCTGGGCCACGCCCTGCTGGCTGCTCTTCTGACTTGCGTAGGATGCCAGGGAGAGCTCTGGCCCCCCCACAGGCATACAGATCATGACTTTCTTTGGAGGTAGCGGAGGCGACAGTTTCACTGGCAGACAAGGCAATTTCACAGGGGCGCCAGGATCTGTGGCAGAAGGAGGGTAAAAAGCAAATGTGAGCTCGGGACCATCAGAAGAAACGCAGAACATCACACATGCGCACCTCAGGACCACAGCGCGGACGCGGGCCTGCTATATAGAGTGCATCAACGTTAACAGCCTCAACGTAGTGTGAGTACTCTTCAGTGCACATTTACCCACTTGTTTCCTGCTCAGAGTGCTCTGGCCTAAGGCTCAGTGGAAACCTGGATGGTAGAGGTTTGGGTCTTAGGGCATGTCGGCCTAGGCTCCTGTGCAGCCCAGGTAGGAAGACAGCAGGAAGGGATATGCAATGGAAACCAACCCGCAAAGAAACCTTTCATCGGATCCACCATGATTTGTCATTGTTACAAATTTTCCATTGTTAAAGTGACACATCCTTTCAGCTGACACCTTCCAACTTTCCTACACTGCCATGGAACGGAAGCCAAGTTCAAGAAGTTCAAGTCCGCTCATAGCACATGCCTGCCTGCAAGTGACAATGTTGTCAACCTCAGTCCCTCATCTGTCACCAAGAGATTACTTTGAGAGGCTTAGTGACCCGTCTTGGGCACATCAATTAGGGGTGGGGCGTGAGCATCGTTGCCAGGCTGCTGGGTCCACTCATGATTAACCACAGTGCATGGTTCAAGCTGTATGGAGGGGCACAGCATATACACCTCACACATGCAACTGAAGGTAATTTGATACAATATTTTTAGCCACTTTATTCATGAACAAAAGCTTGCCCAAAATGAACCATTAGAAAGTGATGCTTCTGACTGAGTGTGATGGCTTACATCTATAAACTCAGCATGTGGGGAGGTCGAGGCAGGAAGATTTCAGGTTGAAGCCACCCTGGGCTACAGGATGAGATCCTGTCTCAGAAACCCAAGAGTTGGGCAGACTCAGAAAGACAAATAATGCATACTTGATCTCATATGTGGATCCTAGATTTCAATTTTTGATATACGTACATGTGTGTGTATGAGAAAGAAACAGAAGAGTTATGAAACAAGAAAGGAGACTATGAGGTGTAAAATGGATTTTAAGGGGAGAGAAAGAGAGTAATGGAGAATATATGTGACATGTAAATGGAAGGGGTAAGTGGAGGGGCAGGGAGTGGGGGAGGGAATCAACAAAGTATGTTTGAAAACGCCAGAACAAAACCCATTCCTTTGTCTGTTAATTAAAAAAATCTAAAAAACATAAAACAACATTAAGAACAGTAAAAAGCCCCACAGCCTGGGGATGTGGCTCACTGGCTCCGGGCTCCATACCCAGTACTGCAAACCCAAACTTAAAAACCAAAACCAAACCGTATCACTTCTGTCATCACGCTGGAGTAGAACCAATCCCTCAATAGTGTGACAGTGTAATTAAAGCTTCCCATAGACGGTCCACATTAAGAGGGGTCCAGGTCAGACCAGCTTCTAGAGCATTCTGGGAGAGATCTTGTATTTCTTGTACCTCACATTCCTGGAATTCATCTGGCCCTGGAGAGGTCTGGAGCTGGGAGCCACAGGCTGTGGGCTTGTCTAGGGTTGGCATGCTTGGAAGGACGTGGCAGGGAGGAGGGCACTATCTGCATGCCACACACCATGTCCCTTGTCAGGGAAAACTTGCTTCATGGCTCTGACTGTTGATCTCTATAGTCTTAGATTTTTCTCCATCTGTCTGTCTGTCTGTCTGTCTGTCTGTCTGCCTCTGTTTGTCCTTCTACCTAGCTCATACTAGACTACAAATAGTACCATGATGGCCCTCAGTTAAAAAACCCATCCAAGGCCTCCCACAGGCAGCCTGCTGCTTGCTTCATCTCTTCAGGCCCATACTGCGTGCAGTCTGCTTGATTCCTCTCTATTGGAAATAACCCTTCCTATGGTACCTGGAAAGCCTGAGCAGCTTCTCCCATGATGCATACCACTTTCCTCTTATGCATTTTACTTATTTGGTATCATACCCACAAGTCCAGGTCTCCACTCCTTGGGTAAGTCTTTCAGGTGGATTTTGTGCTCACTTGTGTTCTCTATGAGAACTGTGGAGATCTTCCTTGGCCGCCTCTGAGTTTCCCAGTGGCCTACCCTCCACACCCACCTCCACATGCACCTCCACTCCTGACTGCTGATGTTCCCCACTGGCTGGCGTTTCCATATCTTGGACCTTTAAATGTTACTTTTGTGGTTTGAAACATTCTCTTTTGTCTTCTTGGCCAATTCCCATTCTCCCTTTGAGATCCAGCTTACAAAGAACCTTCCCAGAAAACTTTCCTTGATGACTATGTTACTCTTTCCCCTCTGCGGAGGATACACATTGTGTTGGAGTGAACAATAGCAGTAATTGTAAAAAACACTCATTCTGGCCAATTCTGATCAAGCAGCCCTTATCTGAAGTGCTTTTGATCACGCATTTCACATTTCAGATTCAGACAGACAGACAGACAGACAGACACACACACACACACACACACACACACCACAAAAATGGAGATACCTTGGGATGGGGCTCAAATATATGCATGAAATTCATTTATGCTTCATACATACCTTTATCTACATGAATCTGGTTTTATACATTTTAATAGTTTTGTACCTAATACAAAGTTCCTCCACAATGAACCACAGGGAGGTATAACTTGTGGAATCACACTCAAAAAGTTTTAGATTTTCCAATACATCAGACTTTGGATTTTCAGATTAGGAATAGTAAAGCAATATCATGCTTGCTAACCATATGCCATATACTACTATTCTAAGTGCTTTTCAGGGGCTGGAGAGATGGATCAGTGGTTAAGAGCACTGGCTGCTCTTACAGAGGACCCAGTTTCAGTTCCCAGCACCCACATGGAGGCTGGCAACTGTCTATAACTCCAGTTTCAGGGGATCTGATGCCCTCTTCTGGCCTCCACAGGTACTTGTGCATACGGTGCACATACATACACATGCAGGCAAAACACTCAAACACATAAAATAAATAAATAAATCCTAAGTGCTTTTCATACAATAACCAATTCAATCCTCATAAGTTGATGGTGAATACATATATGCATCACCATTTATGTAACTGTCTCCTTGCCCAGAGAACAGTGAACAGTTTAACTTATCATGGTGCCTGTGGTGGTTTGAATGAGAATGTCCCCCATAGGTTCCCAATGCTTGGACATTTTGTCCCCAGTTGGTGGTGCTGTTTTGGGGGGGTCTTAGAAGGAGTGGCCATGCTGGAGGAAGCACGTCACTGGGGGCGGGCTTTGAGAGTTCTTAAGCCTTGCTCGATCTTGAGTTACTCTCTTGCTTCCTGTGCCTGCTTGAAGATGTGAGCTCTTAGCTTCTGCTCCCGTTCCAGTTACCTCTGCCACCATGCTTCCCCACCATGATGGACTTTTCCCCCTTTGGAACCATAAGCTAAATAAACTGTTCCTTTTATAAGCTCTCTTGGCCATGGTGTTTCTATCACAGCAACAGAAAAGTAACTAAGATAGTGCCCTGCTTATATAACATAAGGGGCAAACCATATTACTTTTTGTTAGCCAAGACTCTTAAAGCCTTTAATTTTTTTAAAAAAAATTTTATTTATTATTTTTTATTTTATTTTATGTGTATGTGTGTATTGCCTGCATGTAGTTAAGTGCACTCATGTCGTGCAATGCCCACGGAAGACAGAAGAGGTTGTCAGATCCCCTGAAACTGGAGTTTCAGACAGTTGTTAGCTGCTATGTGGGTGCTGGGATTCGAACCTGGATCTTCTGCAAGGACAACCAGCATTCTTAATCGCTGCAGCATCTCTCCAACCCCACCTTTAATTTTTTAAGTTATAAAAAATGTATTATTATTATGTGCATGTGTGTGGTGTGAGGGAGGAAAAGGCATGACGAGGCACAATCAACAGACAACTTTGTGGAGCTGCTTCTCTTCTTCCACCTTTACATGGGTTCCAGGGATTGAACTCAAGTCATCACACTTGCACTGTTGGTGGCAAGCACCTTTACCCATGAAGCCATTTTGCTAGCCCATAAAACCTGAAAATTGACTTGAGTATTTTGGAAATATTATTGCCTAATGTATAAAGTATGATCTGTGTAAGATATAAAACAGTATACTTTTTAAATAAAAGGGAAGAGCTTTTCTGCGGAACTACTGCACCAAATTTTTGGCCCATGTTGCAGAGCAATTGCGTAAGCTCCTTCCGTGCTGGGCTGAAGATTGCTGTGTCTGGGACGTCACCTGTGTCTGCTGTGTGTCACCTACCTAGCATAATGGTTGAAGGGAGTCTGTTCTCAGGAAAGGAGAGCAAACACTCTTGTTTATATACATTCAAGAAAACTTTTTTTCTTCTCCAGACATAGTGAAATTTAAAAACTCAAACAGCAGAAACCCTTACTAGATTAGCAGCTGAGTTAAAATAATTTCTATATGGATATTGAAAAAATTGGCATAAACAATTATTTTTTAGACACTTCCTCTATTCTTTACCCTTTTCTGAGTTACTTGCACAAACCACATTTCAAGATTGTGCCAACACTGTGGTGATCTGCTGGGGGTTGGATCCTTGTCTTCTATGGAAACATCTGGTGGGGACGTAGATATAAAGTGGATTACTGCTTTAGCATCACAGTCTGGATGAATCACTTTATTTATCACTGTGACTAAATTACTGACAGGGAGCAACTTAGAGGAGGTAGTATTTATTTTGGCTCAAAGTTTCAGAGGAAATAGTCTATGGGGGGAAGGCATAGTGATGGGTGGTTCTGTGGTCATGGGAGCATGTAGCACCTGTTTACATTGTGTAGGCAGTCAGGAAGCAGTGCCCCTCTGGAAGGAGGGCCAGACTATAATCCCAAAGCTGCCCCTGGTGACCTACTTCCTCCAGGCTAGGCCCTACCTCCTAAAGGTTCTATAATCTCACCTAACAGGGCTGGGAATCAAGTATTCAAACACTGTGTGGGGACATCTCAAAGGCTGTGAGTGGATGGACACCAAACTGCTAATCTATAGCTAAGAAACAGAAACGCTAA